AAATTTAAAGCAGGATCGCCTTAAAAATTTCTGAGGATCAGGATAATTTCATCGCCGAGTACACGCGCAATGGGCCATATATGTTCAATTGTTGAAAGGTTTTACGGTTCAATTTAACTTATACTTACAAAAATAAACTAATTTCACTTTTTGAATTATTATTCCCTGCGATTCGGGATGCGATGAAAGTTGTAGTCAGCGGGGTTCTTTGAATACCGTCCTAATTGGATTCGACTTGCAAGGCTCCGAGTTTGGAACGGTGAAGCTTTGTTTTCCAAGTTACGCCCTCGCCGAACCCAGAGTTGGAGAAGATCCCGGCTAATAAATACCGACCGGGATGGTAATGACCGAGTGGTTAAGTCTACAGTGGCAACCTGGCGCGGGTGGTGGCAAACTCGACGTAATAGGCACCATTAAGGAAGCTACCAGAATAAATTAAACTGTTCGAGTTGAATTGTGAGCAAATTTTCTTATTTGGGCCAGTTTCAAATTTAATTTCTCAAATGCGTTTCCAATATGTTAAAATGAGACGTTTTATGCATGAAAATAAAAATTAACAGTTACTCCTAACCTTAGAACATATCGCAAACCCACAAGAAAAGTGAAACAATTCAACAAAACAAAATTTTTATTAATTAAGTACACGCCATTACGGTTGATGGCAATAAAAACTGTCAAATCCATCAATATTATATTTCGTTTCTCCAACATTTACGTTATAACAATATTTTTTTAACCAAAACGAGAATCATTTGGCTGAGGATAAGCAAATTCCGAACCGCAGGCTCGGCAGAGCGAGTTGAGACCCGAAAGGACGAGGAAGGACCTTGAAGACACTTTTTTTGTAAGTCTAAATGGCAAGGAGATACCTATGTCACGGATCACTTTATTTTATTTTTTAATATTAATACACTTATTTTAAAAGGTTATTGATTTAATTTATTTGGACCAGGCTCCGAATTTTCTTTTCTTTAATTAATTTGTTTGAGTTGTGGTACTGATATTTTTCACAGTCATGAGTAACACTAAACACGATTTGCTCGGTGTGAATGTGATCAACGCAATGATCGTAATAAAAGGAAAACACAAAACTTTAAAAATCCAGCTGTACCACACCTAAAAAACTACTCCTTTTTGAGTTGTAAATTCTTGCATATATTGGCTCTCAGTAAATTAAGTTGGTTTATTTGCTCTAACGAAAAAGGTGGTCAATGAATGGCTGTAAAAGTTTTTTTTTTGTAATTGCAGCCTACAGCATACAAACCTACCAAACTAGCATAAATGTCCATGCCGTGAATTTTACTAAAATTATTTTTGACCCGTACTTTCCGCCTAGAATCAGGACTAATTAGTTATTTGAAATACAAAATTAATTATTGAATAGCTTTAGTGAACTGACTTTTTTATCTCAACCAAAACCTTAATTAAAGATTAATTAATTTAAAAGAATTTATTTGGACAATCGGACCACTTTAAATACTTCAAAAGTCGTTTTCAAATATCACAATAAGATGGGAAGAAATTTTTTACAGAAATAAAGTGTAAAATTCACTAATTTTCGTGGTCCGCTTGACCACATAATATCTTTCAATTAATTAATCTGTGTTTAAGGTATTGGTTGAGATAAAAAAATCAAGTGACACAAGCGGGATTCGAACCCACGACCTTCTGCTAAAAACGCCGCTGCTCTACTAGAGTGCTTGATTAGTAGGACTACTAATAGAGCAGGGGCGTATTTAGCCGAAGGTCGTGGGTTCGAATTCCGCTTGTAAAACTGACTTTTTTATTTCTACAAATACCTTAAATACAGATTAATTAATTGAAAGATATTATTTGGTCAAGCGGACCACGAAAACTAGTGAATTTATAAGTTCAATAAAGCTCTCCGTGGCCATTTCATTTGTCGCCGAGAATCCAATCCGATTACACGACATTTGAAATATGGCAAAAAGGAGGGAAAATTCAAAAGGTGAGGTTGAGATGAGAAGTTAGTGTCCGAGTGGATCGAAGTCACGATAGCTCAAATGGTTAGAGCAGCGGCGTTATTTAGCCGAAGATCGTGGGTTCGAATCCCGCTCGTGACACTGACTTTTTTATCCCAACCAAAACCTACATTAAAGATTAACTAATTGAAAAAACTATATAAAAACTATGAAAAAACAATATTTTAATTAAGAATGTTATTAAAATAAAATAAATGAAACTACAATAATTCACGAAAACTCTAGATCAAGGTATGGTCTTGAAGAAAAAGCAAATTCAGTTGCTACTGTTACTGCGAAGCTTTCGGTCTATTTTAAGGTCATCATCATGTGATCCTCCTTAGGATTATATGGTGGAGGTCGAAGCAGAACTACACGATCAGAGGAAAATTAACTTCTGTATTAAAAGTTAATAGCTTCAGAAGTGGAGGGCGGGAAACAGACTCGTCAGTTGTTACAATCTTTCCTATTATATACCCGATGGGAGGTCTAGGAGTGGATTCAGCAATGGTGGGAGTGAAGGGGGTCGGTAAAGTACTCATGTTGGGAAGTCGGAACAAGGAGAAAGCTTTTAAATTAAAATATTTAGAAATAATATGAGTAATGGCTATTACAATCAGGGCCTATATTCATTTCACATTAATAAGGTGTCCTTTTTTTAGAAGGCCCCGCTGAATTTCTCTTGAATCGACGATGATATCAAAAATCAAAGAAATGCGTTTTTAATATTTTGAGTAGATTACAATTAATTAAGGTTTTTAGTTGAGATAAAAAAGTCATTGGCATGAGCGGGATTCGAACCCACGATCTTCGGCTTGATACGCCGCTGCTCTACCACTTGAGCTATCGTGACCTCGATCCACTTGGACACCAACTTCCCATCTCAAACGCACCTTTTGAATTTTGAGTTTTTGAAGTTGAGATGGGAAGTTGGTGTCCGAGTGGATCGAGATCACGATAGAGGCGGCGTATCTAGCCGAAGATCGTGGGTTCGAATCCCGCTCTTGCCATTGACTTTTTTATCTCAACTAAAAACCTTAATTAATTGTAATATATTAATTGGTCAAGCGGACCACGAAATTAGTGAATTTTGAGTATAATTTTAAATTGTTGCCTTTTATCCAGTTCAACTTCAAATTTTCAAATACGACCCTGTACATCCTGACACATAATTTTAAAGGAATTTTTACTCTGAAAACAGTATGTAGTATTTAGTGACCGTTAATTAATAATTATTTGGTGATCGTGAGATGCGGTCTTGTGTGATGTAGGTTTATAAAAAACATTTTTCTTGTCAACGTTTCGATCTTTATCAGATCAAATTGAAACTAAATTAGATATATTTTATGGCTTTCCCCCACGCTTACAATATACACATAAATCGAAAACAACAAAAAATACCATTTTAGATACACTCGTAATAAAACACCCAGATGGCACATTAATCACAGTTGGTATGACGTAGATTTAGAAAAAACATTTTTCTTGTCAACGTTTCGATCTTTATCAGATCAAATTGAAACTAAATTAGATATATTTCATGGCTTTCCCCCACGCTTACAATATACAAATAAATCGAAAACAACAAAAAATACCATTTTTAGATATTTTAGGTAATAAAACACCCAGATGGCACGTTAATCACAGTTGGTATGGTCTGGTATGACGTAGGTTTAGAAAAACATTTTCTTTATCGCGCCAACGTTTCGATCTTTATTGAGATCATCTTCAGGGCCTGAGATTTGTAAATATTCTTTTAATAATAAAAATACATTTAAGATGTGAAAATGGAAATACAATGTTGTTAGTTTAATCAATGTATTTGTACTTATTCAAAGTGTGTCTTTTCTGTGTCACGGTTGTGTATCGTGTTGAGAGTTTAGTGAGATATAAATTTTTTTTTTTGTTTATACATGTTTAATTTTTAAGGAGTGGGGAAGGAAGTAAGGGTAGAAAGTCATTTTTCTATGAGTTAGCTTCTTTGAGGTGACAAGAAAAAACGGTAATGGTTTGTCGTTCGGGCTTAGTTATCTATTCAGGATTATTATAGACGGGATTATTAGGGAAAAGAGGGATAAATTGTTTGATGTATGGCGTGTAATGATTGTTTTATAAGTTGTATTGTATGTTTTGAGTACTATTGATATTGAATTTGATTTATGATATTAGCGCAACTGCGACTGTGTTTCCATGTGTCTGTTCTGTAATTGATGCAGTGTTTATCTCTGTTGATGTAAACCATTTCTAAGAAGTTATGTTTACGTTTGTTTTCTTCTGTGTTTCATATTTTTGGATTGTTGAACTCGAAATTGTGTTGGTTTTCAAAATGGTAGGTAGCCAGTGCTGTAGGATTTTGTTTGGGTATTTGCAATCATAGATGTGTTGTTTTACTCTCTTATCCCGATATTGGGATGTAATTCCAATGTGCCGGACAATTTATACAATTGATTTTGTAAATTACATCAGATATATTTGTTACAGCTGTGGGATCTTTAATTTTCGAAAGCTAAGCTTACTAAGCTAAATAAGCTAAAAACAATGTTGCAATCGGTTTTAATATGCTCAAAAAAAGACAATTTTTTCTCTAGTCTTAATTCTAACCCTACATAATCTTATCAAGATTCCCTCAAAATCCTAATTAAATTCACTAGTTTCCTGGTCCGCTTGACCAATTAATATCATACAATTAATTAAGGTTTTAGTTGAGATAAAAAAGTCAATGGCACGAGCGGGATTCGAACTCACGATCTTCAGCTTGATCTTGCTGGAGCAGCGGCGTATCAAGCCGAAGATCGTGGGTTCGAAACCCGCTCGTGCCATTGACTTTTTTATCTAAACTAAAAACCTTAATTAATTGTATTACCCCTAATGCAAAAATTGTCACATAAAAAATCAAGTATCCAGCCCAAAAAGATATCCATGTGAATGAAATGCCTATACAAAGAATGTACATAGCCCATTTTAACTTCAAATTATTTAAAAAATAAAATGTTAAAGAATTAAACTAATCGTACTCACCGGTAAATTGGGTGCTGCATTAGAACCATACTTCCTTCGTCTAGCCACTGTTTTTTCTGAAAAAAAAAATAAAGATACCAAATTAAAGAACTAAATATAATATAAAAACATATATATGAAAATAAAATAGATAAGGAGGGAAGATTTGCCATCTTAAATCTAGATTATAAAAAATATAAAAAATTTTCGTTTATGGTTTTTATTTTATTTATTATGGTTTCCTCAGTGTGGAAATATAAATTGGAACGGTCCAAAATTGTTGAAACTCATTCGAAAGGAACGCTCAAATAATTGGATTGGATATGATTTGCCATTCATCCTCCTGGAAAGTTTTTAAACATAATAGGATTCGTCATTATTGACTGGATCGGATCTGTTCACTACGTCTGAATATACATTTTCCCTTGTAAAAATTCACACCTGGATCCATTTGGAGCCTGTCATATTCCGTTTCCCGGCCCGGCCCTTCTTAAGCCGACATCTCAAATGTTTCTCCCATTTTAAAAACCCTGCCCTAAGCCAGACATCTTCCCTTTTCCTTACTGACATTGTTTTTTGTAAATTTATATTTTGTTTTATTGACTTCTTCTGACTCTCGAAACAATATTTCTGTTAAAATTATTAGGTAGTACTGTATGTATACGGTAAAACAAACAATGGCCTGTAATAAGCTCCTTGTTCATTTGTAGTAAAAGTCTTAAATCGATTTTGCACATAACTTCTTTTATAATAAAAGCCCGGTTTTGGACTCCTAGAATTAGTAGATTAAAAAACGGGAAAAACACCAAAAAATTATATTTTTACAATGTTGATGTTAATTTGATATATTTTAATCTGGGCAAAGCACTACAAGTTACATAAATAACAAGGCAATTCAAATTAAAATAAAAACCAAAACAAAAGGCATTGCGTGGAAAAGCTACCCCGTGGTAGCTCTCATAAGTTAGAAAACATCGCTTAATCACTCGCACTATCTGACAGTATGTCTCGGGACCATCGCCTTTTTAGACGTAGAGGAGAATTGCTAGGAAAAGATCGGAAAGTAGGTGGGTGTACTTTAGCCAAGGAAGGAGCCGGATAAATAAAGCCAAGGATTAGAGTCGGATTGGAATTTAGAGTGGAATTTTTTTGTAGGTGGATAGAAACATAGAACTAGGGGTTGACGATGGATCTAAGGATTATTGATTGCGAGGTCTGGAATATGCGGAAATTGGAAGGTATGTTTGATCCCCACCGTTCTATGCCGTACGCCCTTATTGTCTTCAGTGTTGAGTTGTATGTTAGTATGTTGTTGACGAGGAAGAAATTAGATCTGTTGCCTAGTAGTATTTTAAGTAAGTAATGATCGATATTGCAGGTTCTATCCTTTTTAGTCGTGTTTGACGATTCGTGGTAAGTCGTTTGTTTTGACACAGCCCTAGGTACCGGAAGTCTTTTCCGGAGTAGGATGTGAGGTTATAATAGATTGGAGATAGGGTTATGCGATGGACGGTGAAGGTTATGCTTGGGAGTTTGGTCGCCATTTTTTGAACGGTGGATGGAGGGTTCTGTAAGTCATGACAGGGTCAATGTTTTTAGAGGATAGACTGGCAGAATTTGTTACGGTCGAATCTTCGGCCGACAAAAGTTGGTCCCGTCGCTCAATGGAGAAGGGGGTGGGTGAAGGAGAAAGGTAGGTAATTGTTGAGCGCCACGGTATTTTTGGGAAGGGTAAATACCGAAACCCTAAGAGAAGAAAAGAAATAGAAGTAAAGGAAAGAGAGAGAGAAAAAATGAATCCAAAGGGGGAGATAAAAATAACAGTAACGGAGTTTGGAATCGAACCCACAATTTTCGAGGCCCAAGTCGGCGATCGTAAACACTAGACCAAAGGCGCCGACTGAGCCTCGCCGAATCCCGCCGGCTAACCGCCTTGTGCAGGGATCGCCAACGAAACCCGGGGCCCAAAACCATCCTCCGGCCAGATAGAGATAGAGATAGAGAAAGATAAAGAACAATAATTGTTCGGGCGCGTCTACGTCACCGAAGCGCCCGATTTGCGACGTAGATTGTACCCCTCTATCTACTAATCCTATCTTCTAGAAATCCACCAATCGTAATACACTTCCCTCCTTTTTCCTCAAAAACTCATCCTTCCAGCCCTCTCGAGCTCCTTCACCGCCAGCTCTCAGAGCGAGCACACGTCCTGTCGCCCTATCCCGCTAAAGTGTTGCGCCATAAGTAACTTACCTCCGTGTAAGATCGCCGCTTCTTAAAGTTTTCCTCGCTACGCGAATCCCCACGGATTCCCCCGAAAATCGCCATACGATCTTCACCTCCGCGTGCGTCCCATCTCACGACCGCATGGTCCACAAACCAATCATCACCATTTTCCCTTAATATATCATCTCCTTCTTCCATCTACCATCATTATAATCCCGCGAACGAAACATCCTTTCATTATCCCGCGAAGACTCCATCATCTCACTGGCTACTACCTGGATTGCATCGTCTCATCCTCACCGCTACTGGATTGCATCATCCAGCATCATCATCAACGACGCTGCAGGAACCAGGTCGGTATATCGGCCTAATCATCGCCAAACAAAGCACGATATCGCATTCAGGAGACCTTCGCCGCTTCCCGGTCTTCATCGCCTTCACATCTCCAATACGATCATCTGCCACTTTGTAAGACATAGAAACTTCATTAAACAGTGCGTCTTCAACTACCCTTTCGTTCATTATTTATTCCTTCATTTAACCATTCCTAAACTAATATCCCTCTTAAAATCGGGAATCTTCCATTCCCGTTGGTGCCGAAACAATATTCTTATTAATTTCAATTCCTCATTTTGAACTTGGCTGCTGGCGAACAATAATATTAATCGCAGGTGCCTCCCACAACGGGTGCTGTGACCTTAACGCTCGACTTTACACCGTATTCAACTAAAATCTCTTACATAGAAAATAAATTTTATACATAAATATCTTATACTCTTTAACCTAAATGACTAACATAACAAAGAAACCTTAAACCTAGCATAACAATTTTGTCTTATAACTAAACCAACTTAATCTAACAAAAGGAATTAAACAAATACGGAAAGTCAATCGCCCGTTTTGGCGAACTCACGTCGGGGCCCTGGCGCAGCGTGGTCCTCATCCGGGAAGCAGCCTCAGTCGGGGGAAAATAATTCGTCCTCGTAGAACCACAAATCCTCTTCTGAGTTCTCTTCCCCATCATTCTGACCAGGGGAAGATGCCAGGTTACTGAGGACGACCAATCCGCTGCAGCGAGAATTTCCCCTTTCCTTTGGCCGCTCGTCCCTCGCACAGCGGACACGTCTCTCTGGGCCGACGGCCCTTAACCTTCTGCGGTCGCGTGCTAAACCTCGACGCCCACGCTCGTGCTGCCGCCTGACGCTCGCATCTTCCACGCCGAAATTTAAATTTACACGACTTAAAACTAAGATTTTTCTTTACCGCACGTAGGCACAGGCAAGCCACCAGAAAATTCATTATTACTTTTTTTCCTTAAAAAAACGAAACATATTCTGGGTTTGTTTGGATAGTGATGCCGTGATATCAGAAGTATTGACTACAGTAGCGGGCCGAGAACGTTACTCTGAGGGACTCCGGCGTCCACCGATACAAAAGAGAGTGTGAGGATCCAACCCGTACTCTAAAATACCTGTCGGCCAGGTAGGATATAAGGATGAGATAGTGTTTAGAGGGTGCCCTTGAGTTTCCAGAGCAAACCCGGGTGCCAATCTAGATCGAAATCCATTTGATATTTAGGTATAAAACTGCTCAATTTATTATATTAGTCCTAAGCAGTATTATATTTCAAATAATTCACTTGTGCCATAAAAAGTTTGTAAACCTGGCGTGACCTCGAGGATATAAGCAGGGTGAGGCAAGGACTGCCATCGTCTTGTTACAAGAATTATTCCGTTTCCTAAAAATGAAATTCAACCTTTGAAGCTCTATATACACTATGGAACATTTTATTTCATTACATTTGGTAAAGGTCAAAGGGAATTCATTTATAGTTTTTCCAAAAATATATTGGCAAATGGCTGATTAAACAACTTGACTTTCAGGTAGAAAAATATTCACTTGGCGATTTTAGAAAAAGAAATTCAGGATGACCGCTAAGAAACAGACTGAACAAACAATACTACTTTGCTACTTCGCTTGGTCACAAAATATTACAATAAATAATTTATTTCAATAGCTATTTCGAAGTTATTCGAGTGTTTGTTGTTTTGGAGATTTACTGCGTGCAGACGTTGTTTTTAAAATTTGAAGCCATGCGATGCACAAACTCGTTGGTATATTTCCACTGGATTGCTGACAATATTAGAAATGGCGGGTGTCAAATTTACGACAAACGAATAATTTTCCAACATGTAAACTTAGAAGAAGCAGTTAAAATAAGCCTGAGCTCTCCCAAGGCTTATTATGACGTCAAACCTCGATGATCTTTCCTCAAATAAATTAGCCGTCTGTTTAGAGTTTCCTAGTTGCACTGTTATGCAATTTGACGAATTCTGCCAACGGGGTTGACAGTTTTATCGAATTTGGCAGAACATTGAAGTTTAAAGAAATTTTTTTTTCTATTCTCTATTTCTCTGTACGAGACGTAGAACACTGTACAACTTGATTGTTTACATAGATTTCATAAATCTTTTACAAATCGTTATACCCGTTGGTTAACGCTGTGTCAAATTAACATTTGCAAAATTGTGACCAAAAAATTAGGGTTTTATAATATCATGTTTGTAAGAGAGGAAAGTGTTTTTTTTGCCCCAAAATCAATTTTTTATTTTTTTATTTTCTCGCCTCGATCAGCTTCCTTTTCTTGTGAGGAGGTATGTAACCTTGTAATAAGATGGATACATTTTTATTAGTTTAAAAAAAAACAGTGTGCGTAGGAAATTGGTGAAAATCAGCAAGGAGTGTTGTTATTACGAGCGTGTATTTAGTGCCGTGCCGGGGATTAAGCGATAACGCGATCGCTTGGACCGTGCCAGAGGTCGCCGAGGAGAACAGTGCGGAAAACACCTACGAG